GCTCGTTCCTAAAGCTCTGACTATCTATGATGACAGACGCTGTATTGCACAATCCATACAACAGGGAAATGCAAGGACCCGTGACGTTGTTTTATCCTTTCTCCCTTAAGTTCTCTGTTTCTGCATTACCAAGATCACGTGTATGTATATTTGAGCGGTCGAAGACAGTATAAAATAGATCGTGTTTCGTGTTTGTACGACATATTAATTATGAACTATAGATGCTAAATGATTGTCTGTTACCATTTTACATGATGCTTCTTTGAAGAATTCAAATATTTGAATGAAAGACAAATAAACAGTTTTCTTGAGAGAATCATGTCTGAAACGTGAAATTCATATAGGAAGCCTGTAAGTATTTCTAATATTGGTGAGTTTGAACGCGTTAGGATACGAAAGCGTGCCATAGTAACAGACCATATTCTGAAAAATTCTGAACAGTTTTTTCTTGTTAACATTATACGTTTACCAGTAGTTTTGAGTTTAAACTCGATGCATGCATAATTGCATAACACGGTAAATGAATCTGGTTTCCATTTAGCTTTCAAGAAAAAGTTTTCATTTAGCAAAATACAGAGAAACACGGACTCATAGTCTTCAACAAAACAAAATAAATTCTGAATAAATTTCCGACGCAACGTTTCTAGAGCTAACCTTAATTCATTCACAAAGTTTTAATTTATCGTTGAATCAATTCGCCAAGTACTACTTGCAAACGTTTCGTAATTTAAGTTATTCGCGATGATTGATTCCGACCACCAAATTCCCGCATTTTCCCGTCAAAGTATTCTTGAAATAATTAATACAGTTTCTGTCTTCTACCGATAGCCTTTTCCTTTCCTTTGTTAAAACATTTTTAGCGCTTAAAGATTTCCTCGCCTTCCCTCTGGACCTTTAATTTTGTGTGGAGCAGCGGCTGTGTTTTTATTCCATCAGCCCCTGTTGTTGGTTTGTTACGTCATCTTATGAATTTGTCTCGAATAAGGAAGGAACTTGATCACGAAAGGACAATAAATTTCCCTCCCTTTGTCAGATATTTTCATAATAACAACTGGCTTTATAATTTTGCATGAGCACGAATACGTACAGTGTTGCAAAACCTTCTTGTAAACTAAAACTGAAATAGTAATAATGATCATCGTGAACATGTAATAAGGTAATGATGTAACATTGAAGTTACAACGGTTTGATTTGAAAGAAAAATATACACCTTATTCCAAAATGGCGGCCAATTTATTATTCTTTTGTTTGCAAGTCATTTGCCTCTTTGCCTCATTTTCACTTCAGAATTCTTTTGTATTTTGTACGTGTTGACGAGGCAAAGAGGGCTAATTACCATGTAAACAAAAGAAAAATAAACTGGCTGCCATTTTCGAATAAGGTGTGTTCGTAGATCAAAGCAAGATGAAATGAATTTTGCTAATTGAATATTAACCCTATGGTTTCTAGAAGTCATACGTTCGCCGATGGCTTGTAAAGCTAAGGAGATAATTATGTAAAAGTCGGACCGATATTTCCTATATTTTTAAGATTTTTTCCATAGCTATTTCACAAAAGCAATAGACCACTTTTTCTATGTTTTACCGGCGCAATAATAAACCAACGCGGGAAGTTGGGAGAACACTCGAAAAGCTTGCAAAACGAGAATACCGCGGAACTATCAGGTTTTAGATTAAAGACCAGGCGCATATTCGAGGATTTAAAATGCCGACATAACTCTCGAAGTGAAATAAAACTTATTAATAAAACAGCTTACGAACTCTTGCAGCCTCAGTGGTTGTGTGATTTTACGTCCATGTCTACGTTTAACTGGTTCTTCTCAATTTTAGCTCTCGTTAAATTTACGTAATGCACTGAGCAACGAATTAAATTCCCCACAACTTCTTTTAATATAATGCTACGGGGAGGGGAACGCGATGACACTATTTTCTTGTTTTGTTTACATCTCAGTTCAATATATTCATTGTATTACTGACAGACGATGAGATAGATTGTTGAAAATGAATGAAAATGTTTTATTCTTATTGTTAAATGTTTCAGGTGGTCCTGTCACAAGCACGATGAAAAATTTCGTTCCACTTTTAAATATAACGCACTGAAAAAAAAAAGACTTTGCCATTAGAATTTCCTGGTCCGCTGTGCTACGCTTCTGACGCATCTAAAACTATTCGCAACATATGGGGACTATTCAAAGATGTCTTCGATCGCGCAAACTTCAAAGACTTGGAAAGTGTTGTCTCTTACTTACTCTGTTGACCTGTTTTGTCTGGCACTGCGTCTACAACTTTTCAAAAAATCCTCCAAATCGTAAGATTGACATAGGAAATTACAGTCTTACGCTTGCGGGATCCACAATAAATAACAATTCACGTGTAAAACTCTCCCTCAGCGCCCTGAACATTCACATCTGGCGAGAGCTGTGTGGTTCCGACATACCGAACTTACGTCAACATCTCTTTTTTCCTCGGTATCCTAACGAAAAGTTTAAGTACCGTATAACAGAATTCCAGATTGAAGACGACAGCTTAGACTATGGCCAGGTTATTTTTGGCTTCGTTCACCCACCAAACACAATGTCATACCGTTTTGCAATAGTCTCGGATGATACATCAGAGTTATGGCTTAGTTCAAGTGAAGATCCAAACCGAAAACAGTTGATTGCCAGAGTGTTCACAGAAGGTGAAACTGCGTGGGCACAACGAAATCAGCTGGATAAATACCCTGACCAAATCTCTGAAGATATGTATCTTCTCAAAGGTAGTAAATATTACCTTGAAGTACTTCATAAACAAGGCATAGGTGATGGCTTTGTACAAGTATTTTGGAAAAGCTTTCAAGAAAAAGAATTCAAACTGATCAGTTCCGAATATCTATCACTCTATTCCGACGATATCTCGGTTGCAGAACGGAAAGATGTTTACCATAGTGTTCTTTCAGAACGATATCACGATGAACTCAAACAGAAATCCGAAAGAATTAGCAAGGAATACTTGGACTTCTTTTCCCTCCCTTTGATTCCTAAAGATAGTTACCTCACTTCATGCGAATACAAAAGTAGTCTGGGTTATCATTTTTCCGAATCTATGGTTTACCCTGGAGATGACACTGTCATGTGTGACTACGAAGACGGTTCGCCTAACCGAGTTGCCGGTGGAGATTCAGTTCGAGCGGTTGTGGACAAGGTAACTACTTCTCTGCGACTAAAGACCTCCAAGTAAGTTGACTGCCGCCAACATGGTGAATATGTTTTGTGTGTGTGTGCATTACACCTGCTTTCAGTTTTACGTGCATAAGCGACATTTCTCAACATGCTTAGTAACCTGGCCTACGTCAAAAATGTAAGCACAACTTACTTCTTTACGGTCAAACTCGAATTTTAGTGATAAAAGATGGATTTATTTGACATCAAACTAATGTTAGGAGTATCAAGAAGTCATTCGGGGAGAAATAAATCGACTGTTTTGAATGTTTTACACCATGCGAATGTTAAAAGCGGTAGCGGTAGCAGTAGGTAGCGGCAGCAATTCTACCGGAAGTGGCTATTGAGTGCCGGTCGACTACACTAAAACCGTTTGAATTATCCCGTGAATCGGGAAACATGAAAAGTCCGCAATCTTCTTCAGTCATTTGAGGTCAGTAATTATCATTTATTTGTCATTTCTTCCTCTAATAACCGGAAAGATTGAAATGTTTCACAGTTAAACGGTCTTTCAGCCGTTTACGTGGCACGTCGAAAGATGGCACAGGCATAACGAAAGATGGTCGAAAGATGTCGCCTGTGCACATTACACTGAAAGCGGGTATTAAGGTTTTACTTGGAAATTCGCTACTTAATTAACTCCTGGCTGACATACTGACTGCTTAACTGACTTACTGACTGACTGCCTGACAGACAGAAAGACAGACAGACAGACAAACAGACAGACAGACAGACAAACAGACAGACAGACAGACAGACAGACGGACGGAAGGATGGACGGACCGAACGACTGATTGACTGACTGACTGACTGACGGAATGACTGATGGACTGGCATAACCGGGATATCTTTATATAGCATGCACTGTTGATTGATACTAAACGAGAAAAAAAAAGTGTTTAATTTCGCTTTCCAACTAGGAAGTACTTTTTGAGAAGAATTCACAAAGTTATGCAGAAGTCAGATCCAGTTTATGGTGATCGTTACTCTGTGGATTTAGAGCTCGGCTTAAATGACAGCAGTCAATCATTTCGCCTGTCAGAGCATGTCTTTCACAAAAAGCTCAGTGACCGCTTGTGCTTCCCTGAAGGTATGGACTGGAACTTCAACGCCACAGTGTACTTCATTCTCCCTGTCAAAGATCAAGGAAGATGGGTTTATCATTTTATCAATGAGCTCACAGTTGCCAGCTTATTGACTGGCGATAAGAATTTCCACGTCATTGTTGTGGACTTTGAGAGCGAAGATATCAGCCTCTTGAAGGCGTTTGACACTTCTCTTCTTAGAACCAGACACACGGTTATCACGCTGCAAGGGAAATTTTACAAGACGCTAGCGTTGAACAAGGCTGTTGAGCGTGTTCCAAGTGAGCATGATCTATTGTTCCTGTTTGATCTTCATATCGATGTGCCTGTAGACATTATGGACAGCGTTAGAAAGGTGAGTTGGTAGATACAATGTACTTTATGTAATGAGATTCTTTTGAATTACTTCATCATCATGATTTAATAGGAAAATCTTAAAATCCCATCGCCCAGAATGTCGCGCGTCACTTTTGTGACTTATGCACGGTCCACGCGAAAATTCAGCAAAGTCAATCAGAATGCAAGACGTCTAGACAATAAAGAGAATGACTTGCAAGCGGTCAACACTGCTACATTCCAAACGAGAGTAACAGAAAGCAACCTAGGGGCCACATCCAAATGGCTTTTCAATTTATTTTTTGGCTGAGATGAAACACGATGCACTTGCAAAAACATGCAAAAAGAGAATAAAGAATTTAAAAATTGAAACTTTTGTGGTCGCAATTTACCGCATTCTTCAGCCGGGACGAGCTTTGTGGCCTGTTCATACGGAGAATTTCAGCCCAGTCGACCGGGATAAAATCCAAGAAACACAACCAAAATGGTGGAACATATACTTGTATCGTTCGCGACTGTCGTAGCTGTGTGGACTCTTGTAACTTTACTAACAAAGCTAATTCGCATACTCCTAAAGTGGAAATACATACAAGACAAAAATTATGCCATTTTGGCCGCTATGTTGCGAAAACGAAGCTTTTGTCAAGGAAGTCAAGAAACAGATATTGTCCAAGGACAAATATCGGTGCATTTTTTTGTGCCAAATGGAGGCTACTGTGTTTATTATCTTTCAAATGTTTTTCGCGACGCAAGCAGTTTTGAAAATTGGGGAATATATAAACAATAGCCTCCATTTGGCGCGAAAATACATATGCTAGGATATTTGTCCGCGGACATTATCTGTTCCAGGAAGCGAACAGTTTTCCGAGAACGTAGCTCGAGGAAACCTGTGAGCTTCGAGGAACAGATAATGTCCAAGGACAAATATCCGAGCATATTTTCGCTCCAAATGGAGGCTATTGTGTTTATTATTCTTCAAATCTTTTCCGCAACGCGCGCAGTTTTGAAAATTGGGGAATATTCTCGGATATTGCCCAGTTTCAGCTGGGGAATATTCGTTCACGTGACACGTTTAGACCAATCGCGCGCGAGCGAAAATATTTGATGGATTATAAAACTTGGATATTCCCCAGTTTCCGGTCACGTGATGCGTTTAGACCAATCGAGCTCGAGCGAAAACGTTTGTTCGATTATAATGGCAGATGTCAATTTAAACCAATAAGAATCGGAGAAAAATTTAGTACCTTGTTTGAGAATAGTGGTGATCTTAATTGAGAAGTGATCTATCAAATTCCTCATGTTGTCACGCTTGACACTAAAACAAGAGTTTTTCAGTATAAATTACTAAGTCGAATAATTTATACCAACAAATCCTTATACAAAATGAAAATGATTGATTCACCCCTCTGCACTTTTTGCAAAGTTTCAGACGAATCTCTGATGAGCATCTTTTCTGTAGGTGTGATTTCATTGTAGCATTCTGGATGTCTGTTGTTCTTTGGCTTAAATCCTTGCANTATTGTTAGAAAACTTATGTAGTGTTGTAAGCGTTGTAAACCTTATTGATTTATTTCCGTTTCGGGTGTTAAGTATAAGTAGTGTGAAGTAGTGTAGTAAACAATGTGGATGTAAAAGAAGTATGTAAAGTAATTAAGTAAATTACTATGTAGTGTAGAAGTGTGTGGTTGTGTAATATACCATGTAGGTGTAACTTAATGAATGTAATGTAATTATAAAAATAAATAAATAAATAAATAAAAAAAAGAAAATATTTGTTGGATTATAATGGCAGATGTCAATTTAAACCAATAAGAATCGGAGAAAATTTAGTGGATAACTATTAGGAGTGATAGTGTATTAGTGTCTCTTTGCCTATAAACACTATATCGCGTCATGTGATCAATTTACACCAATAAGAATCAGAGAAAGTTTAGTGGTGAACTATAACGCCTGATTTTGTCCGCGCGAGAACGGACCACTTGACCATTATGGCCGATTACAAAAAAGTAAAATTTAGTGGTGAACTATATCAAGAGATGATCAAGGTACGGAGGGTGAATTCCTCATATAGGCCTTCTACCCAAGGTAATCCCTCTTAAGTTATTTTTAGACATGATACCCAGTTCTTCCGAGGATGTTACTCGCGCGATGCCTGGACAGCCGAAGCGACTTTCTCGAAACTACCTAAGACGAAATGGCGAGTACGTCATTTTATGTTTTGGTTTCGTTTCATACCAGAGTTGTTTTCTGCACTTTCAGCCGCCTCCTTTGTTGAGCCAGGTTTTCGCTTGTTTTGTGTTCGTTTGGCTCTTCATTATTTTGCCGTTTATTCGGTTTTAGGAAGTTTAATTAAGCAAAATTCAACGGTAATGGCAACGAGTAAAATGGCTGTGTAAGCGTGCGTTATAAAAGGTCACAAAACAAAACGTGAAATAGCCACATTCTGCATATTTGAGAGAACGTGAACTATACGACGGCCAATTTTTAAAATTTCTCTTTCGAACTTTGGAGCTCTCTTACATATTCTGTTTTGGATATTTCTGATAGTATATGTAAACTGAATGAATCTAAAATCTAGCGAGACTCGTAGGTTGAATATTTAGTCGTTTTTTAATGGCCGTTGTCTTTAGCGTTGTTGCCGTTGCTGCTTAAACTGCTTTTTGCTACTTGGAAACCGAAGCTCCTTTGCTTGTAGTCCGCAAAGAAGACTTATCCACAGCGTTGGAGGTTTCTTTTGCTTTGAAACGAAACGGAACATATAAAGATCCTCCACCAAAACATCCACGCAACGCGCGAGTAACATCCATGGAAGAACTGAATACAACGTCTAAAAATAACTTAAGAGGGATTACCTTAGGTATAAGGCCTATATGGGGGATTCACTCTCTTACCTTGATAATCTCTTGACTATATATAATGGCTGATAGGCTACGATAGCATTTGTATTCGCATACGAGTAGAATTCTACTAAGGTCAATTATACGTGTTTCAGAACACGATAGAAGGTCGACTTGTGTACATGCCTATTGTTGGACGCCTGGATTGTGGCAGCACATTTGTCGATCATCAAGGCTTCTGGGAAACCGTTGGATTTGGTATTCTTAGTGTTTATAAATCAGACTGGATACGGTTTGGAGGTAAGAAAAACCACTTGAGCTAATCGAACAGAAACCTTTTCCGTAAAACAATGGCATTTTTTTTCCGTCGAATTTTGTTTTAATAGTTTACTTCCTCCTGTAAACCAGTATCAAGTTTCCTTGATGAGTACTTTAAATTTTTGAATTCGCAATACTCGTTGTGCGGTATAAGCCGGGCACATAAGCAGGTTTGCACTGGCTTTCGCACGCAGTTTTTTTGAGCAAAACCTTGTATTTAAAATAAAACTGCTCGGCTTCTCGACGTCTCACGAAAAACTTTCTGGCATGTATACTGTAATTAGCTTTTTTTTCTTTTTATTTTATGCTACGTGGCACGAAATTAGTCTCAGCATTAGGCGCCTGTCTCGATCCCGAAAAATCAATTCATGTACTGTGTTGTCTGACACTTTTCAGTTTTAAAGTAGCTTTGAGAGATTAGTGATTTATGAGAAGCAATGGTTGGCAAAAGGTTTGAGAGCCTCAAATGTCAAATAGATTTTTCGATCGTCTTAGACAAAAATGGTTAGCTAAATAGCTTTTTATCTCGGTCTATGATTCCAGAGACCACAACACCTGCATGCCATTTATGTTGGGGCGCCGGGGTATTAGGGAATAATCGAAAGACGCATTTGAAAGAGAAGAAAGGATGTGTCTTTTAGAAATGTGTCTTTTAGAAAAATAAGAATATATTTAAAGTTCGTCCATGCCTCCTTGGCAAGGCATTGGTATTGTGAAACCGAATGAGCGGTGGTAGGATCATTCGACTCCGCACGTGTCCTACTACAAAGGCTCTTTCCATCCCTGCTCTCTTTCCTCCTCCAAACCTGCTGACTCACTGCATTCCTTTTGTTGCTGTAAAGAGCCTTTTAAATCTTATAACGTCCCTTCTATTTCAAAAGGAATGAACACCCGTGACTTCAAGTACAAATGGGGAGGGGAGGACTGGGATCTGCTCAACCGCGTTCTTAACGCGAAGTTGGAAGTTGAACGCATCAAGCACCCAGGCCTCTATCATCACTTTCACACCAAACAAGGCCAATGGGATTAGCTGAGAGAATATGTAGGACAATGTGTAGTTCATCTGGCGTGTTTCACTTACAACTTTCTACAACTACGCTCCGCTGTCAGACCTTACACATTTTACCCGAACTCGTAAGCTATCCGCGAATATTACCGGATAAAGCACGTAATAAGGAATATATTTACTGATATCTCAGATTGTGGTTTGCTTTAAAACTCGAGACTGAGTGTATATCAAAACAATGGACTCCATGTATTTCAAAACATTGGACTGAGTGGATTTAAAAACATAAGACTGAGTGTATATCAAGACATTGGACTGCTATTAAGTGGGACTGGGTAGGAAGTAAAAGCTATGTCTGTAATGGATTTGCTTTTGTTGTTGGCTTTTATTTGCTAGAACTGAAAAAAAGCTCATACCTCCGTGTTGAAATAAAGTGCTATGTCCGGTTCTGGTCTGGTCTGGTTTTGTCTGTTATGTACTTAACCTTAATACCGCAGTATAAAAATACTAGCTCAAAACGATAGGGAAAGTTAGTTTTCTTATTTAAATGTTTTCCGAGAGGTTCGCGACGATGTTTTCAGCCTGTAGAATTACGTCTTTTTCGAGTAAATCTAGCACTCAATGGGTTAAAATTGCGCAGAACAAACCTGACAACAAACCATGAACAAACCATGACAAACAAGAGTTCCACTTTTCAAGATTTAAAATCTGGAAGGGAAAAACTAGCTCCCTTCTTTTTATAGCATCGGATACGTGGATAACACGCTGACCATTGTGCCCGACATTGAACTCTTGCCGGACAATTTGAAATCCACCATGGAGGTAGCAAAACAAAACACCATGAATATCACCAAAAGAGGTAACAGGCTCAAAACGTCAGTCCACAGGAAGTCTACGAGCACATCGCTTGTCGTCTACTCCTGATGCGTTTTCTGATTAGAGCAACAAACTCCGCTCTGTTTTCCTTAACTTAGACTATCCAATCAATTTGATCAATTCATCTATCAACAAATTTCTGCATAATATCGACAATATCGATTCAGCCAAGAATGCAAGTGACGACACCCCTTGTATCATGATTCTACTACCATTTAAAGATGAGCAATCAGCTAATTCAGTCAAAATACAAATGCAGAATTTGAGCTAGCGCCAGCATTAGTGTCCACATTAAACCTGACTTCCAGAGCAAGAAGGTTGGCCAAGTTCTCGCTCCGAAAGAGAAGAAGCCCCTTATTGTTAACAATCAATGCGTGGTTTACAAGTTTCAATGTAATCTGTGCGACGCAGATTATGTCGGGTACACAACCCAACGTTTACACCAACGTATCAGCGAACACAAATACTCGGCAATCGGCAGGCACATAGAAGAGCATGGGCTGACGAAGTCTGCTTTAGAGGATAAACAATTTTGTATTTTAAAGAAATGCAGATATAGTTTAATTGTTTAGTTTTTGAAATGCATTTCATTAAGGAATTGAGCCCTGTGTTAAATACACAGAAAAACTCAATTCGTGCTAAACTTTTACATGACTCTTTGCGTGCAAATATTTTATATTATATATATTTTAGCGCTTTTTAGAATTTTTTGTCAATTTTTTTATCATTGTTTTCTTTGCATTCGTGTCTCTTAAGAATTCTTAGTTTACATTTAAATTTGTATCCATTTTATTCAGTCAGTTGACTTGATAATGACTTTAAGCGAACGAAACGTCGCCGTTCAAACCAAAATGGTTTTAAGTTTTTCCATATTGTCGCAGTGTTTTATAGTTAAATTGTTGGGAAAATCTCCTCTTCTACGAATTACCATTATTACAATTTTGAAATAACGCAGTGATATCAAAATTCGCAATAATATAGCGTCGGTAAATGTAGATTCCTACCTGGGTCAGTATCTTAATGACGGGGTGGCTAAATTTATCAAAATGGACTGACTATGCTACTTTGGCATTGACTGACTGGTATACCCAAAGACCATGTTTTATCCATTAAACGGCGAGCTGTAGCGTTTCTCGGTCAGGCTAATAATTATAGTAATTAAAAATTATTGGATGAGGTTGAGAAAAATATTTTGATTTGTCAGTGGCAAGCAGATCAAAATTTTGAGGCAAACAATTAATCTGCGAGACACTGAAAAATCACGATATTTTGCGAAAGGGAGTTCAATAATACAACTCAAGGAGGCCATCTGCCGTTTTCCACACAAGAGCGAGGTTACAATTACGCATGAGCAGAATATTATTTGCAGCAAATTTAGACGGTGTTTCCCATGAGCAGACCATTATTGTGGGCAGCCATTCGCAGGTCTCGTGCTGGGCTCTCGACCAATAAAAACAAAGAAAAATGCATCGAATGATGAAGTTTGTTATAGCTGAATTTCTAAAATCCTATGAATTAAATTGACTAAATTGGCCTCCTGAATATTTGCAAAAGGTGCTTGCCTACAGTAATAAGATAAGTCATTTGCATGGCAGCGTTAAGTGAGCTTGTCAATCATAAAAAAAAAACGTCGTGGTACGATATAAATAACAGAAATGGAATCGAAAGAGGCCACTGACTTTTCAGTGCGAGACTTTGAGCAGCACGATATTTTTAAAAATTTCATCGATTTGTATGCTGGATGGCAAAGCTTCAGTTACCAAGCAGCAACGTTTTTCCTTACAAGCCTTGCTAGTTTCGTAATTTAACGTGAGAGGCTTTACTTTTATTATGATTGACAAGGTCACGGGATACGGTCATGGAAACGTCCTATTTAGGTTAGTTACTATATCGTACGGCAGTCTGCATGCAAACTTCATTTCCACCTTAAAATCTAAGGATGAACTCATTTGAATATCAAAGTCAAGTTATCCGTAAATAGTTACCGCGTCTTAGTCGTAAACTAAGACTGACATCGTATCTGGTTCGTCTTAAAGGTTTATAGCATAACAGAGGAGAGGGACTTTTTCAAAGGAAAACATCAACGACAAACCTCCAGTGAAGTAAGTGACATATAACTACCTTTATAACACTATCAGTTGATCATCCGAATAATCAACGAACGGGAAGCCTGCTGCCGAACTGAATGACAAGGGTAATGGGGAACTTTAGCAAACCACGAAGGTGACGGCAACGAGAGCGTCCCCAAACAAAGGTTTGATGAGTAGGACAACTGTTCTGCAAGTGCGTTTTGAATCTTCGTACATTTCTTTGCCGTCCTCTGCAAAACAACAACGTGAAATGACCAAATTCTGCCTATTTTCGAGAACGCGAACCAGCAGTGGCTAATTTTTAGTATCTTCTTTTGGAATTGAACGCTGTCGGTGCATGTTTAGCCTGAGCAAGTTTTTAGACCGATAGGCCTACTGAACAGATTTAGACAGTTGCGACACTCGAAGGTAAAATATGAATACATATTTTACAAGGCGTCGTCCTCGGCGTCGCGGTCGTCATTGCTAAAACTCCCTAATAAAAATAGGGGCGGTAAATGACAACGCGTTCTTTTTCTGTTTATTCGCAAAAGCAGTGAGTTAACAACGTATTTGACACAGAGATTGTTTACCTCAAGGGGATCAGAAAGGTATGAATGATTACCGAGTCATAACAACACGCCTGTCAAAGTTGACTATATCGGCAAATAGTCAAAGAAAACACAAACCATTTAAAATTTACGGAGTACAGTACTGGTTGAAATTAGGTTCATATATCAACAAATAAAAGCCATATTCCAAGCTATGTAACAAGAATTGAATTATTTTTTAATTTTTACTCCCACAAATAATTTGCACTTCGCTTCGCGTGCTTGTGAAAATCGTGGCCGTTGTCAAGAGTACCAAATTTAAAATTGTTTTATCTTCTTTTTCTTCTTTTTACATACGTAATATATACATCTACGTATTACTCAAACCATATCTTTAATCCACCATATCTCACAAAAACTCTTTTACTTACGCGGCTCGTAGTCAACAGAAGAAAGTGTTTACATTAATTAACGAAAAAAAAAAAGATGAGTTTAACTCCCATAGGATTGGTTTGGTACACCAACATGGCAGCCGTTTGATTGCATGGCTAGCTTCCGCGGCGTCATGTCAAAGTGCTGGATGTTGATTTGAAAAATCGGCAATTCGAAAAATTGAGAGTAAATTTCTCCTTAATTTTCCCAAGTAAAATCGTTGTTTAAAAAAAAGGCTTCGAATAACGACAAAATTGAGAGCGACAAGTTGAAGTTACACTTTAAAATTTACCGTTGCCAAAAACTAATATACATTTAGCAATTATTCTTTGAAATGGAGCTGAATAGTGAATACCGAAGCGGCGAATTATATATTGTGCCGCTATTAACCGAGATTGAACAGAATAATTGTTTTACTATATAAACACGAAGCGATCTCAAGAACCGACGAATAGGAAACCATTAAAAGTCGATTTAATTGACCTCTCAATTCATGCTTGGAAAACGTGCAAATGGCAAAAAGCACGATCGTGACTAAAACACCACACGAGTACATACGAGTAACATACGAGTAACATACGAGTAACATACGAGTACATCTGAGTAACATACGAATACATACGAGTAACATACGAACACTTAACAAATAGATTTCATGTTGCCGTGCGTCTGTTCAGTAATAGATCACAGATGACGTCAAAATGTGGTAAGAACAAAAAAGTGGCACACGAGGC